CTTCTTGAGTTCTAGTCCCTCTTCGACTACACATGATCTCAGGTGCATTAGAACCATCTAATTCATCATCCAAAAAGTGACCCCAAAACTCTGTATCATAACCTGTCGGAGTAACATCATCTACATTTTCTCCATCTTCGACCTCTTTCTCACTATCCCCAAATAAATCTTCATATTCATCACTATTGGCACTAGTTCTACTTTTCCTCTCGCTGCCACTGCTAGGTAATTGTTCATCGCCTCTGTTATACATGGCTTCTAGTACTTTAACTTCCGCTATAACAGCCTCATCATCCTGAGTTGTCGGAAACTTTGGGGTTTCGGAACCAGCAGTTGGTGCTTCCCATTCAATGTCATCATCACTTCTTGTAAATCCTTCACATGATGATGAAGTTGCTCTTTTCTTACTCTTCATTATACATGAACCAGCAACATCTTTTTCTCTATCATTTTTCCGACGAGAATTTCCTATTTCAATCATTTCGCTGAAATTAACAAACAAATTTAAACCCTTGTTCCTCCCAAACATCTCAATGAAGAACTTCAAACCTACTTCACTAGTAATCAATATTGGAGGTGTCTTCTTCCCCGTCGTGTAATCCATGATATTAGACGGCAAATACCTAAACCTAGGGGTTCCCAATGTCAAATCTTTATTCATGAATTCTTTCAAAACAATCTCTTCCAAACCAGAAAGATTCATCCCTGCAATAATTGGAACAATTCTAGACATTAGAATTTTGTTGATTTCAAAATACCATTCTTGAAAGATCCGAGCATTCCCATTCCCCGCAAATGACCATACAATAACTCTCTAATGGAACCTGCATACAATAACATTTCACAACCATCAACACGAATCCACAACCATAAACAGATTTAATAACCGCAATAAATTTTTAGATTTTACCTCCTCGCTCATGTTTCCTTCTGGGGAGCAAACACGAAAACGAGATTATCGACGCTATCCACACAACAATAACTCTTCTCTAACTCTTAATAATAACGTCAGATTGATTCTCTCTCCAAACCAATCGAACGGCTGAGATTAAAAAATGTTAACTGATATAGCTCAAATTGTCTTAAGCTTACTCCCTCAATTAAGAGATCGTCGTTAGCACTTAACGGTCGAATTCCACTGAGCTCTCGATGTTCACACAATAGACTTATGATGTTGTTTAATAAGCTAAATGAAGTAATTGAATAATAAAGACAAATAAGCAAGTAAATGAGTTGTAGATTCAAGTGATTAAAGCGTCAGGTCTAAGGAATTGTCTCGGGAGATAGATAAATTGTAGATTTTGCTAATATCAGGATTGTTATTGCACCGTTCTCAAACTCAAACTATAATTCTAAAGTAACCGATGGCGTTCCGCGAAACTCTCTATACTAACAACTAAGATAACCGGAGAAGCCGAGAAATCCACTTGATTAGTTCACGTAGTATCTAAACCAGAGCCCTTCTATGAGCCTATCTGTTCTTTCTTAAATGCCTAGGCTCATCTATGATGGTTCAAATAACAAATACCTATGGCGGGAATACCTATTATCCAATATCAAGTTCTAGGTGATCAATCTAAAACTAGCATTAAGAATAATCAAGATGAAGAACTCTAAGAATAATCCTAAGGGGTTTTCGATCTACTAATCCATCTAAATCCCTATTGAGACTCCCTAGACCCAACATGGTGATTACTCAGACATGATAATAGAAACACAAATCATAATCTGAATAGTTTTCATTGATGAATTGAGAATAGTAGCAAAGGAGTTCAGAATCCTCTCTTTTTAGGGATTGGATTCTTTTCTCTAAAGTTTAACAAAAGCTCAAGACTAGAAAGACTCTAAAAATCATTCTGAAACGTACGAAAAAGACTAGAAAGACTCTAAAAATCATTCTGAAACTGTGTTAGAAATCAGTAAAAACCGGGACATATCATTAACCATAGCTAGCGCAACAGTTGATGTCATCAGGGGTTAGAATTGTATTGATTTTTCTTAAACAATAGAAAATCTCCAAGTGCCTACTCCCTTCAAAGTGCTCTAAATGGGCTTAAAAACTTGGAAAGTGCCCCAATATAGAAGAAACCCTTTAAAGTATTCGATTTATTAGCTATCCCATTGTTTCAGTGGAACCAAACAAATCTAATTATACTAAATCAACAGTCACTTTTACAATAACTGATACTCTCTCCATCTGACACGTAAGCAAAGTAACAAATCTAAGTTGGTCGCCTAATCAATCACATTCGAGTAAGTGATCGAGCATCCCTTGAACTGCGCAACCCTCGATTCAAATGGTGGAGAATGCTTCGCTCTTGATCACTCGATCAAACGGTGGTGATGTTTTCTCTCATTTGGTCATTCAATCGCACGTCTCAAAACACTCCTCTTTGTTTTACTCGATCAACGGTTGAGATCATTTCTTGACTTGGTTTGATTTTACTCGATCGTTGACTCCCTCAAGGTCAATGAAATAAACTTGAAACACTTAAACAAAAACATCAAAAATAACAAGGAAAATAGAAAGTTATATACATCGATAGACATGGGACTTCCTCCCAAGTGAGCTTGTTTTAAGTCACTGAGCTTGACTCTTAGAGAGCTTAGTCAGAAAAAAGGTTGAAGAGAGGAATTGAGAAGTCCTCATCTTCACTGGTTGAATCTTCTATGGTTGAGTCATACTCTGCATCCTCTCTTGACATATGGAAGGATGAGTAATCATTTGAATTTGCTTCAAAATAAGCTTCCTTTTGATCAGCAGAGTAGTCTTCTTAATCTGAACCAGGTTCCTTTGACGAATCCTCAATTTCAAAACTGGATAACTTTTAATCATTTCTTGAAGTTCCAGGATGGTGCTGTTTAACTCTTCCATCTTGTGAGTTAACTTCCCGATGGTATCCTCCTGAGCTTGATATCCTGTCCAGAGCTCCAAGTGTTCATCAGTAACAGAGTCAAAAGTCAAGTGTTCTTCTTCAGCAGAGGGGTTTATGGGCTGTTTAGGCACTCCTGGAGAATAAGTCGGATAGGGATTTCCTCCTCACTCAACAACTTACGCTCTAAGCTTCGTTCCTCTAGATGAACTCCTTTATGATCTTCTGGTGCAAACCATTCTGTTGTGAAATCATTTTCCTCCATGATAGCTAGTGTAGTTTCCATCTCATCTTGATCAATACCAATTGAATACTGAGTAGCTCCTCTTTTAAAATCCCAAAGTTTATCTTTCAGCTTCATCACTCTTGAAGACAACCCCTTTGTGACTCTGCTCTACCATTTAAATTTTTCTTCATCTCATACCAGTCATATTCTGTAGGGTCATTAGTCTGAGCTAACCTTTTTAAGGTTTTCTTCTTATGGTCAAAAGGTTTCTTCAGCTTGCTGAGTTGAGAAGTATAGTTAAATCATGATGGGGTTCCAGCTTCTGTTTCTTTATAATCGTTCATGTCATGGATCTCACAGTTCTGTCCTCCTTTTTTGGCTTTCCTGAAGCATTGTTGTTGTCAAATTCTATCTTGATGCCTCTTTCAAGGTTTAGATCAATTTTTCCATTCTTGACATCTATGACTGCTCCGGCTGAAGTTAAGAATGGTCTGCCTAGGATCAGGGGATCATTTCCCTCTTCATCTATGTCCAATACCACAAAATCTGTAGGTATCTCAATATTTCCAATCTTGATAGGCAGATTTTCTATTAGACCATGAGGATGTGCAACAGAACCATCAGCTAAGAGCAAAACTAGGTTGCAGAACTTGTATTCCATTACTCCTAGCTTTTTAGCTGTAGAGAGAGACATAAGGCTAACAGATGCTCCTAAATCACAAAGGCACCTATTAAATGTCAATGATCCTAGGGAGCATGGCAGAGTGAATGAACCAGGATCATCTGCCTTTTCTTGGATGACTTTTTTCTTGTAAGTTTCTTGAGTGATGACACTACTAATCATCTCTTGATTATGATCCTTCTTGAGTTTTTCTACTTTGAAATTCTTCCCAGAATGGTGAGTATCAAGCAAAGGTGTGTGCTCTATAGTCCAAATGAATTGCTGGATGGCAGGTGCAACATTTGGAGTTGATTTCCCCCCCTTCTTGAACAATACTGTCCTCAATAATGTGGAGCTGATGACTTGGTGGAGACTCATGTTCTTGTTGGATGGTGATAGCATTAGCAGTAGCATAGTCCTTAGGATTCTGAACAGCTTTTCCTGGAAGTTGTTGAAGATGCTTCAGAAAAGAGGTGGATGCAAACTGACTCTCCACATATTTGAATTTGAAATTCAGAGCTTCAAACTTGACATTTTGATCGTTGTTAGAACAATCTATCTTGTTGTGTAATTCAGCTATCTTCTTGTCAAAAGCCATAGCTCCAGTAGCTTTTCCTTGAATAATCTGTTGAATAAGTTGCTTAGTTTCAGGATCTTGTGCTGTGGCGGTTGTTGTGGTTATTGAGTGAACCCTGGTGGTGGATTCTGCTGTTCGTATCCTCCATTGAACTGCTGTGAAGGGACATAATCTTGGTCGTACTGAACAAATGGCTTAGACTGATTCTGTTGTGGTGGATACACTTGATCTTGTGGATGAGCTACATTAGTGTAGGAGAGGTTCAGGTTGAGCTTGTAGTTGTTATAGGCCTTGTTGAATCCTCCTTGGTTTTGAATATAGTAGAGCTCTTCAGTTTGATCATTCCACCCTTCTTGCATTTGGAAATGCTCTTCATCAGTGATGTAGTGTATCTGCTTCTGTTGAGCCAACAATAATTTGTCTTGCTTTTCATTCAAGACCTTGATATCCTTCCTTTGTCTATCTTCAGTGTCTCCAGTTCCTCTCACTAAGCGATCATAGTCTTCATTGTAGCACCCATTAGATTGTGCTAGATTTTCGATTAACTCCCATCATTCTGCTACATCCTTGTTTAGGAAGTTTCCATTTGAGGCAGTGTCGAGTAGCATTCTAATCTTTAGTAAAGCTCCTTTGTTGAGTGTACTCAATAATGAAGCTTTCTTAAAACCGTGATGGGGGCACCTAATGGTGTAGCTTTTAAACCTCTCCCACGCTTCACAGAATGTTTTATTGTTTTTATGGGTGAAGTCCGAGATCTCGTTCCTCAATCTAGCTGTGCAAGCATTAGAGAAGAACTTGGCAAGAAAAACTTTCTTATAATTATCCCATGAGTTGATGGAGTCTGGAGGCAGAGTCTTTTCCCAGTGGTGTGCTTGTCTCCCAAAGAAGAGGGAAATAGTCTGAGCTTAAACCCATCTTCAGTGACACCATTAATCTTGGTGAGACTATAGAGCCTATCAAAGCTATCAAGATGGTCGAGGGGTCTTCCATAGGCAAACCAAGAAATATGTTTCCTTTGATCATGGAGATGAGACCGCTCTTGATTTCAAAGTTGTTGTTCTGAACTGGTGGTGGCACTATCCCTTGTCTTTGGTGATGATTTCTTGGGGCATCACCATCACCAATTTTTCTTGGTTGATCAACTATAAGTGGGTCTTGTACCTTAACTCCTATGTTCTGTTGATACATAGCAGCTGGTCATTGTTGATCACATGCTGCCTTTACTTTAGTTTCTTGTAACTCACGAGCGATTCTGTCAATTCTGTCTTTGAAAGGTAGTAGGTGTGCAAAACCTTTGGACCGAGTTTGCATGCACAAAGATTAGTACCTATACCACAAAAACAAGTAGACGAAAAGATGAGTTAGTAACTTGAGTAATGTAAAGGAACTTGATCTTAACTTTTTCTGATATCTTGAATGTAACAATGCAACAATGAATTGGCAACAACGCCAAATTGATAACTAGATTTTTAGGCCTAGCTATATGCTGAAGTGTGGTGTGTTCAGTTCAATTCCCTTTAAACGCTAACATGTCAATCCAGTCCACTATTATTGCTAGCAATCATGATGTCTACAGAAGCAACTAAGTCAAGCCATATTATAATGATGGTGGGTTTCCAGTAACGATCCTAAATCAAGATTCGAACAACTAAAATGAGAATTTAAGTGCCCTACCCGATTATTGGGTCGAGTAGAACCAACAAATGACAAATTCAAGAACTAAAATTCAATAACAGGTAGCTCAACAGGTGAATGAAATAACAGGTAAATAAAAGTGCAATCAGGGGGTGAATACAAATAAATCTAAGAAGAAAGTCCTAAGAATGGATTCATTGATAATGGCAACTCTAGGGTTCATCAGGTGGTTAACAGGCGAAAGGCAAACACCCTAGACGATAGATTCAAAACCAGATCAATCCACTCTCGTGATAGAGACCCTCATAACTTTACCACTTCCTAATCTCAACTCTCGTTGATGAAACATAGCAAAGCAGGCTTCTAGCAACAATCTATCAAAGTCAATAAGCAGTCTAAACATCCAATCTCTTGGGCTAGAATCTACACATCTCTGGAATTCGTAGATCAGACATCCATTTGAACGTCTTTTGGACGCTGGATACCTTGGGTCGAATTCCAACATTAGCCAGTGAAAAATGCATTAGGGCCAACGAATCCAGAAGGAATCTAACCTAATCTTAACCACCTGACTAACCTAGAGATTACCCTAATCTAATCGATCCTCAAGAACCATAATCACTACTCAAACAACATAATCAAGAACACAAACCCAGAAATGACACTAAACATATCAAAATGTAGATCTAAACAAGATAAACAACTTTGCTCAAAGAACTAAATGCAAAAACGAAATAGATTAAGAGTAATTAAGGATTCAAGATTCTAAATCACAAATAAAAACTAAGAGATAAAAGCTTGGTCCTTTGGACAAACCCTAAAGTGACCTATTTATACTAAAATCTCGAAAAGGTTCTTATATCTTAGTAGATAGTCAAAGTCTGTATGAGTCTTTGGCTTTGTATCTTCTAACAAGGAAACCCTACTTAGGCTTTTATAATCAAGTTGCGGTTTAAGTTCTTATATTCAATCATACATATGACATCAAGTCATATTCGACTCCAAAACACTAACCAAGCTTCTTCATGCTTCTCAAAGCTTTGATGGTGTAGTCGAAGTCCGTATGACTCTTTTTCTTTGTATCTTCTAACAAGGATACAATACTTAGGCTTTTAAGATCTAGTTGTGGTTTAAGTTCTTATACTCAATCATACACATGACATCAAGTCATATTGGACTCCAAAACACTAACCAAGCTTCTTCTTGCTTCTCAAAGCTTTGATGGTGTAGCTAAAGTCTTTATGAGTCTTTGGCTTTGTATCTTCTAACAATGAAACACTACTTAGGCTTTTAAGATTAGGTTGCGGTTTAAGTTCTTATACTCAATCATACACATGGCATCAAGTCATATTCGACTCCAAAACACTAACCAAGCTTCTTCTTGCTTCTCAAAGCTTTGATGGTGTAGTCGAAGTCTGTATGAGTCTTTGTCTTTGTATCTTCTAACAAAGAAACACTACTTAGGCTTTTAAGATCCGGTTGCGGTTTAGGTTCTTATACTCAATCATACACATGACATCAAGTCATATTCGACTCCAAAACACTAACCAACCTTCTTCTTGCTTCTCAAAGCTTTGATGGTGTAGTCAAAGTCCGTATGAGTCTTTGGCTTTGTATCTTCTAACAAGGAAACACTACTTAGGCTTTTAAAATCCGGTTGCAGTTTAGGTTCTTATACTCAATCATACACATGATATTACAGTTTGGCGGGGAAATTGATATTACTGTTTTGGCGGGGAATTTTGCGGTTGTGATTTCGGCTGGAAAAATGATATTACAGTTTTTAGCGGAAAAATTTTATTTTACAATTTTGGCGGGAAAAAATGATTTTACAATTTTGGCGGAAAAAATATTTTACGGTTTTTGTGAGAAAATATGATATTGTGGTTTTGCTGGGAACACATGATACTATGGTTTTGGTGGAAAAAAAATGATTTTGCGGTTTTGTCGGAAAAATTTAATTTTGCGGTGTTGGCGGGAAAAATAAATTTACAATCTTGACGTAAAACTATTGTCCTTTTTTTTTGTCAACCGATAATAATTAAGCTCAATAGAGCCATCCTTGAGGAATGTTGTTTACATAGGTAATATGATGCGGTTCGGTACAAATTTTTTGTGCTAAAGAATCCGCTTTAACATTTGCACGACGAGAAATTAAAGATAAAGAAAAACTTGTGAACTCTTTCTTGCCTCTCTGTAATTCCTCCAAATACCATGAGAAGGCTGGCCATTTGCTTCGCGAAGACACCAAATCTGAACAATCTATGAGAAAAACTACATCTTGGTTGTCGGCGCCAATCATACACTTCATCGCCTAAAGGAGAGTTTCTACTACAGCATGTAGTGGAGATAGACTTCTTCTGAGATTTTCAGCTCCCATGGTTGGCGTCTCTCCATTCGCAGTTGTACAGAACCATCCTATACCCAAGAATTTATCACTCTCTTTCCATGATCCATCCACATAACATCGAAATCCTAAATAGTTGATATCCTGGGAGATGTCCCTCAGTCGACTCCAAGTTGCCAAATTTAAAGATTCATGGTTTTCAGTATGAAGCTCAAGTTGAGCTACTTGCCACGAGTGTGCTTCTTTTTCCGCCAGACATAATACTTCTAGGGGGTTTCTATCCACGTTTTCAAAAATCTTTTCGTTTCTTGCTTTCCATATATACCAAATTATCCAGGGGAATGCAGATGAGTCATATTTCGAAGGTATCCTCCATAATAAGTGATCCAAATTTGCATAAATGGATGTATAAGGGAATTTTCCTACAATCGAGCGAATCTGTGAAAGTGCCCAAATTTGTCGCGCAAGGTGGCAAAGGAAAAGCATGATAATCGTCTCCTCTACCGCATCACATCGTACGAACCTATATCACAAATTATACCTCTCTTCTGTAAACTATATTTAACCGGTACACAACCCGATCATATTTGCCACAAAACATTGTAGTAACTTGGGCGAACACTGCACTTTCCAAGAGTAAGCTTTTAATTCCATAATGTCGGGACCAAGAAAAGGAAAGTTAACATTCAAAGTGTCTAACCATGCCGTATAATAAACAGATTTGACTGTATACTGTCCAGATTTTGTGAAATGCCAACCAAGAGAATCTTTCTTTGATGATACACTCAAGTGAAAAGCACTTATCAGTGGAACATCTGCCGGATCAAAGAGCTCTTTTAAAAGATCAATATTCCAGAAATTTGTTCTATTATCTATAAGACTTTGAACTTTCAGAGATGGATCCATAAATGACCCATTACTTTTTGCTGGTCTCGGGAAATAAGTTGGAATCCTTGGATCCTCCTAGACTGAGATGGACTCCCCGGACTAGACTCGTTTAATAAGTCCTTTATTAACCAGATATCTAGCTGAAACTATACTTCTCCAACCATAGGATGGAGAGTATGACTTTATATTATCCATTGGAGTGGATTTCCGATAATACCGTCCTTTGCAAAGAGCGAATCTAGAGCCGTAATCAAACGCCACAGTTGTTTTGCTAGGAGAGCCGAATTAAAATCATCTACATCTCTAAAACCCAAACCTCCTTCCAATTTGCTAATACACAATTTATTCGAAGCAATCCAAGGCATACATTTAGAGTAACCATTAGAGCTTCACCAAAATTTAGCAACCGCACTAGTGAGTTTTGATGTGACGGTAGATGGCTTCAAACTACTATGTTTTGAAACAGAGATCGAATTTGGCAATGGGGAGGAGACCATCATGTATCTACAGTATGAGAGGCTTTTTGGTTTCTATAAGCGGTGTTTTAGCCTTTGTCATGATGTGAAATACTGTGGTTTTAATGAAACCATATATGTGGATCCATCGGCTCTAGTGGAGGAGGAGAGGGACGACAGCCACATCCAGAGCTACGGAGGTGCAGTACTTCAGGCAGCAAAACAAGAACAAAGTTAGGAACGAAAGATGTCTGGTGGTTTGAAGGGTAAACAAGTTGAGGAGGTTCGTAGGGCTGATAGGAGTAAAGTATATGGTGTGAATCACAGTGGTGCAGTACCATCATGGTCGAGAAGGTTTGAGAACTACTATCAATACAATGATTATCGGTTCTCGAAAGCTGGTGGTTACGGTGGAAAAAGTCAACAAGATTCTAAGGGGGCTGCT